CGCACCAATGGCTGTCTACTGTGTGGTGACTGAAGAGACAAATCTTTACCCTGTAGTTACAGATGCTGCACAGACTGACCTTGACCTGCTCTCTGACCACATATGGGTTAACTCTCTCTTATTCTCCTGGGCTCACTGGCATTGCTTATTTGGGCTGTCTCACTCACTCTTTCTTCTACCTCCATTGTGTGATCAAATGTTGCTTCTTCACAGAGCTCTTTCCTAAGAAATTTGGTGAAAGGAGTTCCCTCCCTTTTTTGAGATACTGCGGTTGGAACTCAGGGCCTCACATTTGCAAGGCAGGTGCTCTACCACTTGAGCCATGCCCCTAAAGCCCCTTTTTGCTTTACTTATTTTTTGGATAGGGGCTCACATTTTTGAGAGGGGTCCACCTTAAAATTCAATCCCCCTACCTATGTATCTCATGTAGCTGGGACCCCCAAAATGCCTGCCACCATGCCTAATTCATTGGTTGAGATAGGGGTCTCTCAGTTTTTTCCTGAGGCTGGCCTCCAGCATAATCCTCCCAATTTCTGCATCCTGAGTATAAAGTAGCACTTCTTACCCACTCACCATAATCTAACTTGTATGATGGATTTCACCTCAATAAAATTGTCCTGTCTCCACTTGAAGAGTTTGACTGGTTATTCTCCCTTCCTCTCCTGACTATAAGTGTCTAAAAGGTGAGGACTTTCTGTGTCCGTCTCAAGAGTACTTAGCACAGTGTCTGGCACATAGTATATACTAAGTAAATATTTCCTGAATAAATGAGTCATTTTTTTAGTGCTGAGATAATCTTTATTTCCTATTTTGTTAATACTGTCTATTCACTGAGCACTAACTTTGCTCCTCCCTTTAACTTAATAGTCACATAAAGATAATCCTTTACCCAATCTTTTTTGGGCAAACCCTTGATTCAGAAGCAATTCACTCTTGCAAGTGAGTTTCTCTGAAAACCATCATAACCTCTGTTTGTAATGGCTTGCTTTAGTTAAGGAGGGCATTTTCCCAGATAGAAGCACCTAATTGGTTATTAAGAGAATGGCTTTGAGCATACCCATCCATCACATCTTCATTAATTAGGTGCAAACAAATTGCATGGGGATTGGGGATGATGACAATTTTTGAATTAAATGAGAGATGACCAAATTCATCAAGGAGTTTTGAGGAGGAGCCCTGAGCAAGCATGCAGTGTTCTTTAACATGCTGTTGATCTAAACATTTATTTGCTCAGAAGCCTTCAGGTGAGTGTTTATTTTTTATATGCATCACTGTTTAATTAAGGAACCCATTTCTTGGGACTGCGTAGGCACTAGATGGGTATCTGAATTTCAAGAAACTCCAGTGGCTGGAGTGATTGGCAGGAAAGGCTACAAATTTTATGGGCAAATGATTATGGCTCTTCCTCTAACTGATTGGAACAACAGATTCACTGTTATGTTTTGCTGATTTTTTTGATCCTTATTTCCCAACCTCCATGTCCAGAGGTATCACAAATTTGGCTGTGACTTACAGTTTCTGAGAGATTCCTTCCATATACATTTAGATCTATGACCTTGAGAGGTTGGTAAAGTGAAGTTCGGAGAATTATACCCCACAGTAACTATGATGTTCATGTAACACTCTTCTGAACTGAATGCTGTGTCCCCCCAAAATTCAAATGTTGAAATCGCAGCCCTCAAGTGATAGTATTAGAAGGAAGAGCTTTGGGGAGCAGATCAGGTGATGAGAATGAAGCCCATATAAGAGAGATTAGTGACCTTATAAAAGAGATCCAGAGCTAGGTCTCTAATCTTCCTCTTGCCATGTGAGAATATGGGGACTAGTCAGCAGTATGCAACCCAAAACAGGGCTGTCTGTCATCAAACTCCCATGTAGGCACACTATCTCAGATGTCCAGCCTCCAGAACTGTGAGAAATAAATTTCTTCTGCTTATAAGCCATCCAGTCTGTGTTATTGTCTTACAGAAGCCTGAACTAAGTAAGAAATGTTTACTTTGTTTTTTTTGGGGGGGGAAAGTCTGGAACTGACTACACTGCCTCCTGGCAGCTTGCCTCTCTGGTCTCTCTCATTCTCTTGCTCTCCATGCACCAGCCACAACTGCCTTCTTCTTGCTCCGTGAAATCACAGTATGCCTCCTTCTTCCTGGAGACCTGCTAACCTGTCCGCCCTGCCCTAAGGCTCCCCCTTCTCCACTCCTTCACTATATTTTCACTACTAGTTAACACTCATTTTTCAGAGCTCAGGTTTAAAGTCATACAAGGTCAGAGGCTCCTTTTACAACTTATTTCTTTCCATGTAGCACACAGCTCTGTTTATATTTCTCGTTTTCTGGGATTATTTAATTAAAGCCAATTTCAAAGAAAGCATTATTTTAATAAATGAATAACTCCACTGAGTCACACCCATGCTAAGTAGAGAACCCCAAAGAGCAGCTACTGATCCACGGTCCAACATTTTCAAGTAGACTTGTAAGAGAGTTGTGACTTACCCCTTCAGAAAGTGCTTCAACTGGACAACCTTGCCTTTCTAGACATTACATTTTTTTTAAAAAAAGCTCACATACAATTTTGAATATACTTTATAATGCTTTTAAAATCAGAACACTAAATTGTGTTTGTTAATGGAGAAGCTGACAAGTGTTAATAAAATAAGATCAATGAACCATCTGCATAATATATTCTCTTCCTGTGTTCCTTCTTTGAAATCAGAATAAAGCTTCTTTTTGGTCATAGTGATGTAACAAGGAATATGTTCTTATTCTTCAAGTTAATATCCTTTCGTATGCATAACCTCAAAATGAGTATTTTTAATTTTCAAGTGAGGAAGCTTAAGCTTAAGCACAAGATATTTTAGACATTTGATGGGTCTCCTCAAAGTCCTTGTCACCTCAGAGGATACCTTGTCTCCCAAATCACCTAAATCAATTTCTGTCTGAGTTTCAGCTATTCCCATTATGATGATGATTATAAATGACCCTCTGTATCAGGTATTGAGCTGCTGTGCTAAAGTGATGAAGTGCATTCCCCGTGGGAGCTCCCAGTATTTGGGTACCATTTCTCCAAGCATAGTTGCTGCTGGCAAGGGTTGGAGGGAGCTGGACAGTGTTGTGAAGGATAATCAGAAAAATGGGCAGGGAAAATTATTTCTATGCAGGACTTGGTTCAAATTTGTTTAGGGAAGAGAAGATAGAGGCTATCTGATGAGGTATCCCCTAGAAAGCTAGCATCACGCATATTAGGTGCCCAGAAACAAAGGTTAAATTTACAGGATTCTCTACTTAATGTCACCAAGAAGATAAATGTAGTCAGCCAGGTTACTTTTCAAACACAACCCCCACGCCTTTGAGTTCAGTCTGGAATCCCAAGGTCCATTCTAATCAAATTTTGAAATGAACTCTAGCCTCAGTGTTCAGGGGGTGATGTCACAGTAGTAGATCACTTGGGAATACCCCCAAGGGGTTGGCTAGATTGGTACAGGAACATAACAAATGAAATGACCAATAACTTATGGTCTCTGTCAGTTTTCTGCCAGTGAGTGATTAATGAATGGCCTACAGTCAGGGTCTGGGATACACAGTCAATACCCAGCCTATTTTGTAATTCTAGATAAATGGTGCCCTGATTTGTGTCAAGATTCGGCTAATTACCATCCCCCTTAAGCTGCCATCATCACTCCTAATGAATAATTATAGGAGCTAGAAGCTGGACTAGAAGATTCAGGGAATGAATACTACTAACACTTGGATTTACTTGAGTCTCAGGAGAAATCTAACTGTTAGTATCTTAGGTTGTAGATGTCAAAACTGAATTTCAGAATATGAGGGGCTATCGTGGAGTCATACAACTTTGTCCTCACTTGCTGACCAACACCAAAACATTGTCACTAGTTCACATAAGAAACCATCATGCTTGTATGTCTCAGACCTGGAGAGATGACCATGACCTCCTGTCTCCCAGAATTCAGAGGGTAAATCCATTTTTTTTCCAACCTACATTAGTTCTTTCCAAAAAATTTTCTGTTTGGTGTATGGATTTACTTTGAACTTGCAGTGTAATGATGTCCTTTTGAAGGTTTAAATGATCTGATCCTGTTTGCAACAATCCCCCACCCCCAATCCCCAACTCCGACCCCCAACCCTGCCTTCCTCTCCCTGCAGGATTCATCCCCTTCCTCTTCCTGAACCTTGTGAAAGCAGAATTGGTCTTCTCAGGAGAGAGATCTCTAAACACTGGCTGCCCCGGATGGGGAAGAACATTGCACAGGGACTTTTTTAGTCATGAGTAAACGGTTTGTGTGACAACCTGAAAGCTGCCCTCAGGACCTTGGAATAGGAGTTCAGTTTGGAAGTGATCAGGTTCAACTTCCAGAGAAGCAGTGTGGGGACTGGTGGGGACAAGAACCTCTTATTCAAAGTCCCACACATGTTAACAGTTTGGGGCAGTGGAATGACCTAGAAGAAGCAACTCTGGAAGTTCAGTGGTTAGGGCGCTAAGGTACCAACAACCCTTTGAAGATAAAGAAAACAGTGGCTTGCAAGGCTTTTCCCGACTTCGCAGGAAAAGTTTTACTCTTCTGATTCTCTAGAGCTCTGACAATCAAGGCAACAGAAGTGCACAAACGAAAGGGCTTCAGAACCAACCAAAAACACGAGTTAGAAAAGTTCTTTCTTCCAAAAGGTCCCCAGTAACCCCTTAAGACTGATAACTCCAAACTTCCCGACAGATGCTTGGATACAATGTAATGTAGCATTCAGGAGAGGCCTTGTAATTGGAGCTCTCAGAACCCCACAGAGAAGGGGTCAGACTACAGGGCAAAGAGGAAACTCACAGCTTTCTTTCCCTGAGGGAGGACAGTGTCTGGGACACTCCTGCTGCGTCCGGATCTTGGCGCAGTAGGAGGCTCAGGGTGGAGGAGCCACTGGCACAGCGGCTCCCCAGCGTGCGCCCAGCCCTGTGGCTCAAATGCCAGGAGGCTGGCCGCTGGCGGGAAGAGGCTGGGAAACCTCAGAGTGGCCGCTGGGAGACAGCACCCGCCTTGTTCCGCAGCCCTGTGGCTTTTTTTTTTTTTTTTTCCCTAGTAGAGGCTAGACATCCCCGCCTCCCGCCCCACCTCTCTGGGGGGTTCTTTCCGCCCTGGCTCGGAAAGCGTTAACCTTGGAGCTTTGCGCACCCCCTGGCGCTCGCGCCCAAGGTTCCTAAAAAGGAAAGGTGCAAATTGGTTCAGGACAGAGTGATCAAAGCCCAGCGATACTTCCTGTTGCCGAGACATATAAAACGTCATGAAGGCTCTGGTTGCAGAGACGCACCTAGTGCTGGCCCAGCCGCTGCCGCCTGCTGCCCAGCGCCTGAGGTTTCCTGGGGACCACAATGAACAAGTGGCTGTGCTGTGCGCTCGTGGTAAGTCCCTGAGCCAGGGGGACGTCCGGGGAGGCCGCCTGGCCCTTGACCTCGGACCTCCCAGCGACTGATGGGGCAAAGCTCAACTCTCACTCTCTCTCTCTCTCTCTCTCGCTCGCTCGCTCGCTCTCGCTCTCTCTCTTGCTAGCTGTGGGGTTAGGAAACCTCTTTCCAGCTATGTCCTGCTTCCCCTGGAGTGTAGCTTCACTGTGCAAAGTTCCCTGCAGAGTTTATGGGAAACAGAGAGGGAGTGGAGATGTAGACCTTTTTGGTTCCAATGATCTTTATCCATTTTCTCTACTTTTTTCATTCGAAATTATTTATGCCCTTGTGTAATTCATAAATCTTTGCTTACTTCACTTGCACTTTATTGTTACTAACAGTGAAGTGACTGCTTAGAGCAAGCTGGAAGAAGTCATTTCAAAACTGTTAAGTAGAACCCTTGGATGCAAGAACTATGACGGGCTACGTCAATTACGCTCACTTACACGTGTTACGGGCAATTTTCTGGCATTAGAGAAAATCTCTCTCTTTCTCTCTCTCTCTCTCTCTCTCTCTCTCTCTCGCTGTCTCTCTCTCACATACGCACACACACGCACACACACACACCATACACTTAACCGAGTTCATATTTTAATAAAGTTTTATTATTAAAATAGATTCCTCCAGTTCTCAACTTCAATAATGTGGAAAATATTGATGTAATAATGTCAATTATGTTCAAGACTATTTTTAAATACTTGAAATTGAGCGCTAAGTAGAGATAAAAACCGTTTTTTAAATGCTGCTTGGAAAGTAAAGGAATCTTGTTATTTAGTGTTGCTTTCTTTCCCCTTTTTTTTTCCTTTTGGCTTAGATTTTTCTGTCATCGCACTAACATTTGTGTGTAATTATTCTATGATTAACAGTTATTTCCCTTATGTCAGTGAGGATGGAGTACATGAAGTTACGAATCAGACAGTCATGCCAGACTTGGAAAAATCCATATTTAAGCCACATTTGTGTTTTGGATGTGTTGGTGTAAATGTTTGTCTTTCAACACCCAACCCACAAAGTGTGACTGGGAAGCTAGGTGAACTTGCACTTAGTTCCTGAGATACACAACCATGAGCAGATAAATAAATAGCAGTCACCTAGGAAAGTTGGACATGTGTTAATTATGTGTGTATATATGTATATATGTAATTTTTAAATGTGAACCTTTTAAAATGTACACACATAGAGAATTGCACAAGTCATAAGTGCCTGATGAAGCCTATCAAATTGAGCACTTGTGAAGTGGCACACATACCAAGACATACATTATTAACACCTTAAAAGCTTTCTACACCCTAACCCTAACCCAACACTGCTGTGTCCACAACCAGAGTCATCAAGATTTTGAATTGAACACCACATATTGCTTTTGCTTGTATTTGAACTTCATATACAAGGCCTTATGTATTTTTTGCATTTGGCTCCTTTCACTGGAAGTTCCATTGTGAGATTCATCTCTGGTAGTGGATGTACAATACAATATAATAGAGTACAATACAGTAGGGTGTCTATTTTCAGGACTGTATAGTTTTCCATTTTAGGGATACACAACTAATTTAATTATTCCAAGTTTTGGCTTGTATAAATAATCCTTATTAATATGGGAACATGTTATTCTTCTTAATCTTTTATATTCTGTCAGAGATTTAATACTAATGAGCATACTATTGGTCATGTCTAAATTTCAGGAGTTCCACTAAAATATGTTCCCAATAATAAGCCTTCCTAAATCACAAATATGCAAATGTTTTATATGTAGTCTGCATAAGGAGATAGGTATGCACTAATTTTAGGTAGTGCAGAATTATCAAAAGGGAAGAGCTTGTGTTTTGAACATAGTAAATATTTTAAAAAGGAAGGATTTTGACTTCTGTTTCTTTAGTTTCTGAGTCTGACTTTATTTTGTGTATGATTGGAGATGGACATTTTGTAATTATAAATAAAAAAATCTGAATTCCTTTTTGTAAACACTGAGGTCCCAGGCATGACTCTAAGCACTAGAGACAAAGTGAAAAACAAGATGGACATCACGCCTGTCCCTAAGAACCTGCAGCCTAAAGAAGACCCGTATTGGACAAATATTGCACATGTCACTAGAGTTATGAAAGAGGAAGTCCTGGATGACTTGGGAATATAACTGCTCCAACCTTCCAGCCTCTTATGGAAGGTTGCAGTGCAGTGATTATCAGTTGGACCCAAACCCAAATGTCAGCACTACCACTTACCTGAGGAATGACAGTGGCTAAGCTACTTCTCTCTTGAGCTTTAGTTTTACCTTCTTACACTGTCTACAATAACATGCAGACAGCCCAGACACCATGTGAAGTTCCTGCTCCATGTTAACACTAGCTTCTAGCTTTACACTCACAGATAAATAAAGGATATTCTAGAGACCAGTGAATCATGGAAAAGAATACTGATGATACTCAGAGGAAAGAGAGATGACCACCTGCTATCACCTTGAAGGATGTTTCATTGTTGGAGATAAAATCAAGGCCTCCTAAACCCAAAAGTGGAAGAAGGCAAAATTGTGTGACAAACTAATTCTAGATTCTTCTTGTGAGATCAGAGTAAGTACTGATAGGCAAGCAGTGACAGAAGGGAGGGGACATCAGTGACAAAAGGGAGGGGGTCACCCATCTTTAGGATGAATACCAAAGCCGTGGGCTTTCCTAGAATGCTCACTAGTACACAGGATGAGACAGTGATAACACCAAGTCATTTCCTTCATGGCTGCCACTTGTATTACTTGATGATGTGCTTGAAACACTCTCGCTTAGGCCCCGGTTTTAACTGGTAGCTGAAACTTCCCATGATGCCTTGGCAGAACCATCCGGGAAACTTCCCAAAGCTAAGTTCTGAGTTAATGCTATGATACCAGGAGGTAGGATGGAGTGGTGTGAGGGTACAGTAAGCTCTTTCTTCTCAGGAAATCTGCCCAGTCTCTAATCTCTGTTGTCCTTTAGGATAATGCCCAAAGGGCTTCTGACTTTGTTTTTGTTTATTTTGGTTTCCTTCCCCTTCTCTCAGTGGTTGAGTTGGTGGATTTGCCTGGCTTTTCTTTTCTTTTGTTTTTCTTTTTTTTTAAAAAGAGAATGAGTACTCTGAAGTTTCTAGGAGATTTGACATATACTCAACCTCACACAGTCCATGGCAACCTTGCTGACCTCTGTCACCTAGCAACCTTCATCACAGTTCCTAATTTCAATCTGGTTTTTAAATTTTACTTCTTAGGCCAAAACCATAGCTGTCAAATACCACTGGGGGAGGAAGAAAGCGTTTTGTGCCAGATGTTTAGCCAATTAGTTCTAGAAGGAGTGTCCTGGCTATGTTTATAAAAGGGGCACTAAACATACACTGCAGTGTTCTTGCTCTGTTAGCCACAAACTGTCCTTCTGGTTTGTTCTCAGCAGCCCTCAGCCCCCTGCCTGTGTGCTCCCTTTGTGTAAAAGCTTTCTACAAAAAAGCAGTTATTTCCTTCAGCATCTCATTAACCGATAGGATTTCCGTTAGCCTGAGATCTGGGAACTAAACTGAAGAGAAAGGATAAAGTATGCATTTTTCAAGGCTTTGTCTAAAGACATTTTGCTGCCCCTTATTTGCTTTGATGGAGCAGAGATGCCAAAATTACCAGTGTGTTGTATATTTTGCCCTGTAGAGCAATAGTTCTCAATTATATTGACTTCTTCCATGCACCTTTATAATAAATCCTCTGTAACAATCTCCTTGTCTCCTGAAATGAAATTCAGAGTACATATATTTTTCCTATACATATAGTTTTTATAAAATCAATATCCTGGCATAACTATACTGTAAAGGAATAATAAAAGGAAAGTAATTTATAATAAAACAAGCTTCACTATAAGACATAAAGAAGTCATGATATGCTGGCACTTTTATGTGGCATTGCTGCCACAGATGCACCACTGGGAATAAAGACAGAGCACATGTGTCACACCAGTTATCCAAAAGCTTGATCAGTGTTGACTTTGTTGATGTGATTTTCTGCAATAGTGAGTAAATCTTGTTAGAGCTCAAAATAGCATTCCAGCTATCAGATTTTCTATTGTTAAATTCATAACAATTATGCAAAAGCCACTTTGTCCACAAATAACAAGGAGTTCTTCTCGAGTCTCAGGTAATACGTAGTTCTTTCATATAGATTATGTATGTCAGTTGTCAACAAGACATTTGAATGGTTGTGAGACATGTGACTGTTCGTGATTATACAGGAGATGGAGAAGCAACAGTCATTGTGCCCTCAGAAATACTCCACAAAATCCCACAGGCATCCCTGTGACAAAGTATGAGCTCTTTGCAGGCACAGATTTTCATCTTACTCATTTACACAGCCCCAAGGTCTCCAGTCCTGACACAAAACGTATCTGGAGAGTGAAAGGAGCTATGAAGAGATTCTCTAGGGTATTGGGTAATTTAGCAGCCATTTCCAACAGAATTTACCTTTCCATCAATGATTTAACAGCCTAATATTGGCTTTGATCTCTTTCAAAATATTAATGTAACACGCTACCAATCTGGCCAATATTTTAAATATCTTTTCTACATTTCTACTATAAAGATTCATAGCAATAGCTTCATGAAAGCTCATTCTTAAGCAAGCAACAAAAATAAAACAGTTGGGCTGGTGGAGTGGCTCAAGTGGTAGAGTGCCTGCCCAGCAAGCATGAGGCTCTGAGTTCAAACCCCTTTTCCTCAAAAAAAACAAAAACTCTCATATATTGATGGTGGTACAATGTAAGCATGGATGGACTAGCGTTTGGGCTTTCTCATCTGGTTGAATTCTGTACTAGGTAGAGAACACACAAATGGTGTTAACTTTAGATATTAAGTATTCAGTTTGAGTTTGGCAAATTTAATATATTTGTAAGATATATTACTAGAGTTGTCAAGTAAGTGTTTAAATTCAAGAAATTTCAACCATAGAAGAAAACTGAACTGGAGAT